CGTTTGCATGTAAGGAGTGTAAACAATTACTCAAGTTATTGGGTTGGCTGGCTGCAAAGCTAGTTTGCAGATGGGTTACCCTTGTTTGCGCGCAATATTTACTTGTATATGCTTGTGTATATTGCCTTCATGAGTGCCAAAGTATTTTCTGTTCTGTGCTACCAGTTCGTCTTGAAGTCTATTCATTTACCAGTACCAAAGTGTTCGTAGTTTCACCAAAGATGAAGGGAAGCATTCCAGTGATACATGAAATCAGCTGAAGGAGGAAGCAGTAATGGATAATTAAATCTTTGATATTTTTATGACAATGGATTGGAACTCTTCATTTACCAGTGCCAAAGTGTTCGTAGTTTCACCAAAGATGAAGGGAAAGTATTCCAGTGATACCTGAAATCGACTGAAAGAAGAAGCAGTGATGAATTATATCTTGGATATTGTTATGACAATGGGATTGGAACTATAAGAAAGATCCGGGATTATAGGGAAAACATTCCAGCGGCACCTGAAATCAGTCGAAGGAGGAAGCAGAATGGACAATTAAATCTTGGATATTGTTATGACAATGGGATTGGAACCCTTTATTTACCTGTGCCAAAGTGTTCGTAGTTTCACCAAAGATGAAGGAAAAGTATTCCAGTGATACCTAAAATCAGCTGAAGGAAGAAGCGATGATGAATTAAATCTTAGATTTTGTTATGACAATGGGATTGGAACTATAAGAAAGATTCCCGGAATTATTTTCAAAAAAAAAGCGAGACAAAAAGTAACTTAAATTATCAAGTAAGTATTTAAAAATTACATGCGGAAAAGGGATTTTACATTTATTTTCTTTGTTTATATGTGTTAGTTATTTTTAAATTAAGTAATTTATTGTAATGATAATAATAATTAATAAAAAGCCACAAGATTTAAAATATTCTTTGTATGGGTCATAATTTTACTTTATTATTTGTTTAATAAAAATAAAGGTTATTACATTTTGTTCACGTGTATTTTTACAAAATTTTTTATTGTAATTGATGTCTTTCCGTTTTTCTTAACTTTTGATTTCATAATTCAAGACAAATATTAACTTCTATTCTTTTTCACAATGGGATATTAGAACAGATAAATGATTGCAGGGTGGTCATGAGCCAATGTGTATTGTTAACTCTATTTTTAGTTTATTTTTTAATGTTTAATGATAATCAAACATAGGTAATCACGCGAATTGCTACGTACTGTAAATATATTTAGAATAAAGTTGGGAAGATAGAAAAGAGCACATATCTACAATATATCTATACATACATTGAATGTGATTGTATTTGTATTTGCATTTCAAATGTTTAAATATTTAAATAAATAAAGATTTCAAAAGTTAGTTTTTATGTAAAAAAAAATTTATATTATATTTGGTAATTTTAAATATTTTTTATAGTAAATTTCAATTAAGGTAAATAACATTTAATGATTCTTAATGTTTATAATTCCCCTTTTTTAATATATTTAGGGATACAGCCAATTCACAAAAAAATCGAATCAGGATGATATGTACACTCCAAGAAATACATTCCCTCAATTAGTATGACATTAAAAGATCCAACATGTATCCAAACAAAACATGGTAATTTATTATTATTACTGGTTTAAATATTCCAATTACATATTTTTATCCCGTATTTTTCTTATAATAAAGTACCTTATATTTTTGTTCCCAGAATTTATTGACAAGATAGGATACATGTTTGTGTAACAAATATTTACCTTTTCATATAAAAAAACAAAATGCTCAATGACGATCTAGAACCCCGGGTATAGGATTGTATCTTAAACTGGGGGGTTTAGATTAAGGATCCTAATGTATATAAACGCGTCTTTTTTTCCCTTTTTTATTTTTTTCAACTTTACGATAAATTATAAGCGTGAAAATAATTTATTATTATATTTTCCCTTTTCCACTTTTTATTATTTTTGCTCTAAATTTTATAACTTTTAAATAATAATATTATAATTCCTCTTTCTTTTAGTGATAACTTTGTTGACTATATTTCATTGATCTCAAATAAATAACTAGAAAAGTGAGGTATTCATTCTATCTATTTTTGTTTTGTTTTTCGTTTTTCTTCCTTTATTACTCTGTTATCTAACTCTTCTCATATCTTTTGCCATATCTATCACCACGCACGCGAGTGCCTATGGAAATGAGTAAAAAACTGGGAGGAATAGTTTCATTATTTTTATAGAAAATATTAAATAATGTTTATTTAATTTAGACGAAATTGCAAAAATGCAAGAAGACCTCCATACGAGAAGATCTCCGCCACTGCGTAACATGAGTGTCCGTGTGATGCTTAGGCTCTTGACCATAACTGTTAGTGCAATGAGGATATGAGTGCCAAAGTGGGGAGTATCAAGGATGCCTTGATGCCGTTTGCATGTAAGGAGTGTAAACAATTACTCAAGTTATTGGGTTGGCTGGCTGCAAAGCTAGTTTGCAGATGGGTTGCCTTGTTTGCGCGCAATATTTTACTTGTATATACTTGTATATATTTGTATATATTGCCTTCATGAGTGCCAAAGTATTTTCTGTTCTGTGCTACCAGTTCGTCTTGATGTCTATTCATTTACCAGTACCAAAGTGTTCGTAGTTTCACCAAAAATGAAGAGAAAACATTCTAGTGGTACCTGAAATCAGCCGAAAGAGGAAGCAGTAATGGACAATTAAATCTTGGATATTGTTATGACAATGGGATTGGAACTATAAGAAAGACCCGGGATTATAGGGAAAACACCCCAGTGGCACCTGAAACCAGTCGAAGGAGGAAGCAGAATGGATAATTAAATCTTGGATATTGTTATGACAATGGGATTGAAACCCTTCATTTACCAGTGCCAAAGTATTCTTAGTTTCACCAAAGATGAAAAGAAAGTGTTCCAGTGATAACTGAAATCGACTGAAGGAAGAAGCAGTGATGAATTAAATATTGGATATTGTTATGACAATGGGATTGGAACTATAAGAAAGATTCCCGGAATTATTTTCAAAAAAAAGCAAGGCAAAAAGTAACTTAAATTATCGAGTAAGTATTTAAAAATTACATTCGGAAAAGGGATTTTACATTTATTTTCTTTGTTTTATGTGTTTAGTTATTTCTAAGTATTGTAATGATAATAATAAATAAAAAGTTACTACATTTTTATTCTGTTTTTTCTAACTTTCAATTTCATAATTCAAGACAAATATTAACTTTCACATTGTAGATAACAACAAGGATATTGCATATAAAGCTTTAAATGCTTTTGTATTTCAATAAATTAGTAGCTATTTCAGTATTTTGTTTGTGATAAAAATACAAATTCCGCAATAATAATTCAGAGTATAATGAATTTATTATCAAATGACAAAACAATAATCTATTATTATAACAAGTATGAATAATTATTTCTAAATTATTAAGATTTAAATTTTTTTTGAAAGATGTTGTTCATAATAATCTGAATTTGTTGGACTATAAAAAAATAATATTAAAATTAGTACAACAAATTAATAGACAAATTGATAGACAAATTAATAGAAATTAGAAATGTTATTTACCTAACATTTTGTTCTTTTTATTTCAATACATTGATTAAGATGATGATTAGGATTTAAATTTTGATATGCTTCTTGATTTAAAGAAATATTATTATTATTCATAGAATCTTTTAAATTCTTTAACTGTGATTGTTCATAATTCAATTGTTCTGATGATTATAATTTTTTTTTTTTTTTTTGCTTCACATTAGAATCTTTTAAATCTTGAATAAATCCTAAGATCGATGTAATCCTTGATTTAATGTTATAGATGTTATTGTAGAATTCTGAAAGGATATTTTTTTTCATTTTGTAAAATAAGACCAAATTCATTATTGGATTCTAATTTTTATATATAATATATTAAATATGATTGATCGATATTTAATTGATAATATGGATTATATTTTAGATTAAAATTTTACCCGATTGTTGATTACTATTATTTCAAAAGATTAATAATAAAAAATATATATATATAAATATACAAAAATAGAGAGATACTGAAATATAAAAAATATATTTTACTCTTCAATATCAGAACTAATATCAAGATCAATATTCAAAAAAAAACAGACAAATAATGATCATTTTGACGGTCAAATTCTATGTTTTTACAAGTTAAATAAAAATTGATAATATTAATACTTTAAATAAATATAATTAATAATATTACAATTACCTTCAACATAGCAGCAATTTCCTCTTTTGTATATTCTATAATAACTTTAACTTTAATAATATAATACATGAAAAATTTAATAATTTGTGATTATGCAAACCTATATTGGAAATTGAATGGTTTTGTAAATCATTATTACTTGAAGATATCGAAGGTATTAATGGATCCTTGGTTTTAGAATTATCCACAGTATTCAATCTTTTCATATTATCCGTAGTGTTAAATTTTTCATACTATTTACATTATTCATATTTTTTTTATGTTATTCAATTTTTTGAGCTTGAAAAAAGACACATTTTTCATTGTTTTCTGTAACCGCATTATTATTTTGATGAATATTCTGAAATAATTAATTTTGCTGTGAGAGTTGTGATTTATCAGGTTTAGATATATTACTTAAAGTATTTTTAGTTGAATTTGTTGATTTTCTCTTATTGGATACACTGGAGAATTCAGATTCATGAAATAAATTATCAAGATCAAAATTTTTTCTTTTTAAAAGATTAAGTTAATATTTATGTTTTTATATAAAAATAAAATTCTTAAAACAATTCGCTAAATTAATTTATTACTTACGGGATGCACTTTTAATTTAATAATATGCTGTGCATAATTTTTGTCATATAAACAATTACCTAATACATTTCCAAACATTCTCAAATTTCTTTTTATTGCATCAATAACTGCTTTTTTTTTTGGTCTTATGGAAAATTAAATTTAAAAATTAAGATATTATTTTTATATTATTTTTATATTATTAAATATTATTAAATATTTTAACACCATTTTCATTATATTATAATAAAATTTTATTCACCTTTTCAAAGGCCAGAGCTTTTATCTTCATGTTATCCGCTGATCCATACCCTGTATCCTATTATTTATAATGTGAATAATTAAATTTATAAAAAAATTTTGACACAAATAAATAAATTAATACATAAGAAAGTAACATAATGATAAGTTCCATCCTTCAAAATAATTTTGGTGATAGCTGAAACACCAACTGAATACCTTCCGGCTTCACAGTCGACCTATTGTTGCAATTGTAATTATTGTAATTGTTAATAATTTTAATATCTTTTATTTTAATATAACAAATATTACAAATAAAAAATTGCGACATACAAATATCCTCAACACTTAAGGACCATCCATTAAAACAAAAACCTTGTTTGCGATATTTATTACTTTTCACGCCTCAACATAAAGTAATTTACAATGTTAGGCATTTTAATAAAGTTTTGCAATAAAAAATTATTAAATTTAAAGGTATTTCGTTTATACATACTAACACTTGGTCCAGGTCGAGTGCTTAAAAACTCGGGTCCTAATTGTTTGTCTAAGGTTGCTTGCGGAATTTCGAATTCCTCAGGCGTGTAAGATCTGTTTCCCCAAAATGTTTCCTCGGACTTTCTTTGCATTTATCTACTTGAGAGAGAGATACCCACACTTAGGAACTATATTTGAGTATACATAAATTACATATATGGAGTGAATAAATTCGAAATTCGATGGTTGGAACTTTTGATGATCAGCTGTCAACACGTAAAACGCGTATAAATAAAATTGACACGTGAATTAGAAGTAATAGCATACGTAAATATACATATAATTTTAAATTTTATGTATGAAATTAAAATTTATTATTATTATTATAAATTTGAATTAATCATATTTAACTATATAAAATTACAAATTTACAATCTGATCTCAATATATATATTTATTATATTCATTATAATTTAACTGTGATTTATATTTAAATTAAAAAAATTATATCGCAAAGGAATAAATTATTATAAATAAAAATATTCTCTGATTTTTATTATTATTATTATTATTATTATTAAATTTATAAATTTATCCAAATAAACCCCTCAAAGAAACTTGAAATGCAAATTGTTGTTCTATTCGAAATTTCTTTATAGATACCAGTATCATTCCTGTTTTATTTGTTTGTTTTTTTTTTTTGTTCTCTCTCTTACGTTATTACACACATTAGTGTTAAATCTTTTTGTTTAGATTGTAAGTACTTACTGGTAACCTATAAAAATATAAAAATGAAAATCAATAAATATCGTTACGAAATTTTTTTGTTTTTTAAAAAAATAAAATAAAACTACTGTATACGAACTAAAACAACAAACAAATACATTAAATGAATTACATTAATGAGTATCAAGGAACAAAAAAAAAAAAAAACTTCATTCTTTCTTACCAGAAAGTAATGCTTTTTCAGCAAAATATTTAACATCTGCATCCGAATCTTCTCTTAATTTATCCAATGCGGGTTTTACTTGAGTTTCCAATAGTACACCTGTTTCTGGATTCTGTTTAAGAACAGGTATTAATACTTCGTAAGATTTAGCGACATTAAATCGAATGTTTGGAATAGGGTCAGAAACAAGGGTATTCACTATGGGAAGGATGTGATCTCTAATAACTTCTGGTGTAACAGCTGGTGCCATTGTCTATGAAATATAATTTAAAGATATTTTAATAATTAAAAATATTTAATAAGTTAAAGATATTTTAATAATTAAAAATATTTAATAGTTAAAGATATTTTAATTAACAAAATAAAAGATTTATAATTAAATCGAAAGAAAATAAAATATTTTACCGTGATAGCAAAGATTGTAGTCATTCTAAATAAATAATTTGGATGAGATCCCATTGCCAGTACTTTTGGTATAATAGTAGACTTTGCCCATTCAACACCGAAGACTTCAGTTAATTTCTTCAAATTAACTGTAGCTGCTTCACGAATAGAATATACATTATCTCCTAACCAAGACATGCAAAGATTTCCAAGTTTTTCATCAAAAAAGGCAACTCCCAATTGACTAGCAAGTAAGGGAATATAATCAATGATTGCAAGTCGTACACGCCATTGTTTATCTTCTGCCAATTCAACTATTGCGGGAAGCAAATTTTGTGACAAAAGCTCAATTCCAATAACTATTTAAAATAATAATATAAATAAAATGGATAATGTCAATTTACTGAAATTCTTTTTAAGTAACTTCATATAATAACTTCATGTAACAACATTTCGAACTTTAATATAATCAATTTGAATGAATTACCCTCATTCACTTGTTCTAACTTGGATATAATATTGAGTCTTACATCAGGAAATTCGTCTTTTAGAAGTTGTAAAAAGAGAGGTAGTAAATGTTCCGTCGTACTATATAACATGAATTATTATAAATTATTTAAATGATTTAAGTGTGGGATAATTTTCAATTAAATTTATTAAATTATTTATTACGTACGCCTCTTTTCCCAAAATTGGTGCCAGCCCACTGATTTGAGTAGCCAAACTTGCACGAACGTACTGTGAAGTATCGGTTACCAAATCCTTAACACATGGTAATATGTGTGACAAGATTGTCTGTTTATCAATATATTGTGCGAATCCTAAATGAAAATATAATTACCTAATATAAATTATAATTCTTAAAATTTAATCTCAATAAATTTCAACTTTACCTGGAACTTGACCGGAAGCTGCTGTCCTTACTTCAGCTTCATTATCTTTGAGCAAATTAACAAAGGCCAACACCAAATCTTCCCTTGTCACTTCATCTCCTACAGCTTTTGCGATCTAATGTTTAAAGCATAATTTATTAAAAAAAATTCCTGCAAATTTTTTTTTTTTTTTTTAACAATTAATAATTATTCAAACCTTAACAAAATTTTCTGCAATCATATATCTAACCCTCCAACTTTTATCTGATACCATACTCCTCAAAGTTTGTAAAAGGTAAATTTTACTCTCCTCTTTTGTTAGAATTTCTGCAATTGCAACAAGATCTTCTACAGTTAACAAGCGAACAGAATCCTGTTCATCTTGTGCAAGTTTGCTGAATAATGGAATTATATCCGAAATGACTTGTTCCTTTGGAATTTTTTTTGCAAATTTCTTTTAGAAAGCATCAAACATAAAAAATAAGATATTATTTTTTTTAAAAAAAATTAATTTTCAATAAGAATAAAAAAAAAATTTAATTTTTGAAAATTTATTTTAAATAAAAATTTTTAACTAACTCCCAAGTTAGCTCCGGCTGCTCTCCGAACCATTGGTGTTTCATCTAGAGATAATTGTTTAAACATTGATCGAAGTTCATCCTGTGAAGCAGGTGTCGCCATTTGGTATCCTGCTGCATACAAGCCACATGCACTAGTACGATTTGTAAACCATTCACCGCTACCTAAACGTTTAATAAGCGGTATATAACATTCTTCAATTTGTTGTTGAGAAAGTATTGTTGCAACTTTATTAAGAGATTCAACAGCCTAATAATGATTATTTAATATTATTAATATTAATTAATACAAACAAAGTAATTATAGAATTTATAAATCGATAAACACCTTTTCCCGGACAAGGGTTTCCTCGACAGTCGCTAAATTTTCCAAAGGACCAAGTATAATGTGCGCATATTCCTTTCCTCCGACATATTCAACAAAATTGCCAAGTTCTTCGGCTAATGCGAGTAATACTTCATCCTCATCATCGATCGATTCTAAAAAAGAAATTGTAACATAGTTAAATAAAAAAAAATTCTTAATTTGATTATTTGCTAGATAAGTTCGACATTTTAATAAATTTCGATGGTTTTAATTAAGAGATTGGATGAATTTGTCTCTTAAAAAATCCGAAACACCGAAATCCGTAAAATTAAGAAACCTTATTTGTTCTAGCTTGTATCGACTCGAGTTTCTCGCTGAGTCTTCAAAGAACCCGAAACCCATTCCGTCATTAAATGAAACCGAGGTAGGGATGTGAAGTGCTTTTTAAATTTGAATAGACACTCACCATCAAGAAACGGTATTAGTTCATCTCGAGTTCTCTGGACTCCCAAAGCTAAGGCGATAGTAGAAAGTCGTCTGATGGCATTTAATCGAAAGTTTACATCATCGGCTCTCAGTTCATCCAATAAAACAGCAATTGGATAGAGGCTATCATTAGTTTCTTCTGGGTTCATGTTAAATAGGAAAAAATAAATCGAAAAATTATTTTGTGTATTAAAAAAAAAGCGTTAGGATTATGGTCGAAAATTTCTCCCTAATTCGACATTTGAATTTGAAAAGGAAATTGGTGCTAGTTTATAGCAGGTGACCGTGAAGATCTTTGCTTAGATTATAGTTTATCAGCCAATCAGGTAAAATGTGACATCATACTATCAATCATACGATTGAAAATCTATACTCCGCCATCATAATTATTTGGAGCCCAATTATTTTTGATATCCCATATAGAATTCTATATTTATTTCAAATAATCATCAATTGGATTAAATTAAAGATTTAAAGTAATTTTGTCTTTGGTTGTTCTAATTTTCTAATTGAATAACAACACATGTTAATTGGATTAAACACAAACTTTGAGATATTACTTCTGAAAATATATATATATATATATATATGTAAACTGGCTAGATATACAAAATTGAAATTATTTAATCACAGAATTTTGCACGAAAATGATGGTTATTTTTGAATTATTTCAATAACCAGAATTCTATCCTGTCAATATATATATATACATGTATATATATATATATATTAATAAAAGTTATTCATTGAGTCATTTATTAAGATTGTAATATATAATTAAATTCAAATTTTACCCTTTTTTGAAGTGCATCTTCAGCAGGTTCTATTCCTGTAGGAATCTTAAAAAAAGTTTAATAATTTATTTTGTATTTTAAAAATTATTTAGGTAATTTTATTCATTAACCAAAGATTATTAATGTAGGGAAAATAATTTTTCTCACTGATATATCTTTGAATTAAAAATTATTAAAAAAGAAATTACTAATCTTAAAATATTTTTAAAAAGTTAGAAGTTCATCACAATTCAAACAATTCAAATGTATCATTTTCAAGCATTATATAATATATAATAGTAATATTGTTACATGGAAATCAACTAAATTTTTGGTGTAAACAGTTATAAAATATTACATAAAAATTTTAAATGGAATGATAAATTTCAATTATTGTTAATTATTCAAACAAAATTCATCACCAGCTATAAAACACTTAACAATTCTAAGATCATCATCCAAGAAAACCAAATCCGCATCTGCACCCGGATAAAGAGTACCTTTAACATTATCAATACCCAAAAGTTCCGCGGGATGTAAAGTTGCTGCTTCTATAGCTTCAACAATTGAACATCCCGTAAATTTTTTAAAATTTCTCACACATTCATCCATGGTGAGAACTGATCCAGCTAATTTACCATTTTCTATAACTTCCACTTTTTTCCCAGATTTACGAACTGGAACATCACCCAAAGTATAATCACCTGGTGGTAATCCCATAGCTTCCATGGCATCAGTAATAAGAATAGCTCCCCGAGGATGAGAGTCATAGGCAATCTTTATAGAATTGGGATGGACATGGATACCATCACAAATTATTCCATAATATGGTCGAGGATAATTAGTACCTAACATACCAATAATTCCTGGGTCTCTATGATGAAACTAACAAAAAAGAACACCCCCCCCCCAATAAATTTAAAATCTCAAAATTTAATAAAAAATAAAATTTCAAAAAATAATAAAATAATCAAAAATGCATACTTGTTGCATGGCGTTAAATAAATGCGTTATGCAATTAGCCTATAAATTAAAAGAAATGTCTATAATAACTTTGGTATACAAAAAAAATAATAATAATACTAATAATTATAATAGTTACTCCTCTTTTAATGGCTTCTTCTGCTTGAGCAACTGTAGCGTTTGAATGTCCTATTTTAATTATTATTATTTAATTATTTTGTTTTTTAATAATTATTTGTTTAATTATTTAATCAAAAATTTTATATACTTTAAAAAAATTTAATCATTATTTCACACCTATGCTGACTGTAATCCCGATCTTAATCAATTGTTTTATACTATCCAAAACTCCTTCCACGTCGGGAGCGACAGTTATTAACTTAATATTTTGATTTTCATCGTTTCCCTCACTACTACATGATAACCCATACATGTCCACGAAATCGCTGAAACCATTTGGCGCAGTTCGAACATTCAATAAATCATGTGCTCCATATTGATTTGAAGCAATGAATGGACCTTCGAGATGTGCACCTGCATGTTTTTATATGGTCGCAAATAATAATATATAAATATCTTTTATTATTTCGGGATAATATATTCAGAAAAAATTATTTAAATATTTTAAATTGACCAAGAATTTCTGCCCCTTGATTTATATTTCCTTTACGAGGTTTGATAAGTGGAAGAACCTAAAATTCATAAAATAAAATTTAAGTAAGAAGAATTAAATATTATTAAAGAAAATAATTTAATGAAAAATGTACCTTGTGATATAGTTCAGGCTTCGAACTAATCAACGTTGGAAGAAAACTCGTGCAACCATAATTCAACAATCCTTTCGAAACCTTATCCAAACCGTTTTTTATATGATCCTCTTCCCGCCATTCTGAAAAATCTACTCCAAACGCACCATTAATTTGTATGTCGATAAACCCTGGTGCTATCAATAATCCTTCGGCGTCAATTATTTCATTAGGCAATTTTCCGGAAGAAAAAAAGCAATCTTGTGGATTGAGAATTTTCCCATTGCATATATAAAGAACATCATTGTCTATTATTTCATGATCACGAATCAATCGTCCATTTATAATTTTTTTGAGTCGAGGAGCTTGAGATGGCATTTTTTTTTTTTTTTCTTTTGATTTTTATTAGAGAAAGAGGTATCAATAAAAATGACGAAATTTCTAAATATGATATATATATATATATTTGATATAATGTATTGGGGCTAAACCAAAATTGAAAATCCAAACGCGACTTGAGTCGTGACCTACGTGATCAACATGTTATTTTGATAATCTTGATAATCTGCACCATACGATTTTTTTAACATTCAATACATGAAGAACATTGACCAATTAACCTTTTTAAATCCATTGACATGTCGGTTCGGTTTAGCTTTACTTGACTTCATTGACCATCGACTTTCGGTTCGGTTTGACCATATCGCCCATCAGTCAAAATCATTACGTCGGTCATGTCAATTATGTCACGGTTGTCAAATTATTATGCCTTAATTAAATTTTAGGTAGAATATTCATCTATTCTTGGTTTGGGAAAGTTTGCAAATTGAGTCAAAATTACTCTTGACTCAAAATTTCATCCAAGATTCTTGATGCTTTTACTACGCATGGTAACTAAGAGACATTCTCGATGCACATTCTATGGAAATGTGTCAACATTTAGAATACATTTGTTTAGCTTTGGGAATTTCTTTTTGAAAATCATAAATTATTAACACGACATCAAAAATATAGCATTTACTTCTTCGTTAAATTATATTTAAATTTATTTTAGAACTGTATGCACGAAAATTTAATTCTTCAATTTAATACATACAAAAAGATTATTTTCTCATAAAAAATGATATACAGACAGTTACAATATATTATTGAGTTTAATCAGATTTTAAGGAGATAGATAATATTCCAAACCAACAATTTTTAAGAGGTATCATAATAAATATATCCATAACGAGCAGCTGAAAGTAAACTTTTTTTTAAAGAGGATTTTATATTTAATATATTTAATATATACTTATTATAGAAATTAAATAATAACGATCATTACAATCAAATACATAATTCAGAGACTCACCTAAGAATAGTGACAAGACCTGCTGGCATAAATTTACCACTTTTATAAAAACGAAAACCCATCAAACCGAGTAATAAAACAGAGACAGCTGTATAGAAAGGATACGTTATAGTAACAATGAATTAAAAAAAAAAAAATAAGGATAAAAAAATTCACATACTCAAAGCTACTCCAACATTTTTGGAATTTTTGCTGAACCGATATGAGCCAAATGCCTGCAATAAAAAATCCAATATAAAATTCAAATGTAAAAATAAAAAAATTCAATATATTAATATATTAATTAAATAAAATAAAGAATTCTTACAGCTAAAGAACCAAAGGTCAAGCCAGCCGCCAATGATACCGTACTACCTGAAGTTTATTAATGCAAGATTATAAGTCGTTCAAATTATTCAAAATTAATTTTAAATTTAATTTTAAATCAATTTACCAGCTTTTACCAAGCCAATAATTCCTCCTAGAGCGACAGTCTAAAAATTTTAATATTAATTAATTAATATTGCTAAAAAAAAAAAAGACAAAAGAAAAAAAAAAAAGAATTTATATTAACAAAAGAATAAGCATATCCAATGTAATCAGTCATGATGTTGAACTTGAGAAAGGAATGCTACGGTCATTTTTAACATCTTTTAACATCTTTTAGTGCCTTTCTAAAAAAGGTTATAACTAGAATAATTACGTAATACAAAAATTCTTCTATTTATTATCGTAGAATAGATTTTGGAGCTAACGCAAACGTAATAAATGCAACGTGAGTGGTGAATCCTACGAAAAAGTCCTTGAAAAGGATATTTGCCACTATTCTCTTTTGGTAAGAAAATCTTACCAAAAACGATCAAAAATATACCTGGGTTTTATCTATACGATTACTATATCTATTCGCTACTCGCTACTCACTACTCGATTACGATTACGATTACGATTATACGAGTAACGTCCCACTCACCCTCCTCAAAAAATAATAAATAAATAAAAAAAAGGACGTTTTTACAAAAAAAATTTTTTTTAGAACCAAAAATGCCCGCGAAACTGACTACTATTTGTTATATATATGATTGGACAGAACGTATAACTTCGAAATTTTTGGTGAAAGAGATAACTGGAGTAGATAACTGGAGTAGTTAAAATGGAAGAGGACAATCCAAATACGATCTTTTATCTAAAGATAAAAGCATTGACGAAAAAATTAAAATATATATTGATGAATTTGAGAAGGAGCAAGTAATATTCATAACTGGAAAATTCGTCACATGTGAAGGATGGTGGTATTCGGTATGTATTCTTCAGCAAAGTGAAAAATTAATTTAATTCACTGCATTTCTTAATTTTATTAATTTTTTTTTTTAAGGTGAGCGCAATCTCAATAAAATTAATTCCAGAATTAGATTTTGACACGATACCAAATATTGGAATCAATGTAACATTGACAGGTGTAACAACACAAACCGTTCAAATTCGTAATGACAATTCATCAATTGAATTCCTTATTCAAGAATATATTGGTAACCAAGAACCAAAGGATTTCTGGTTAGAAGTTCAACATGAAACAAATAATGAATATCTAGATAAAACATCAGATCTACAACTGCAATCCTAATTGGTACAATGATGCAATAACTGGCGAAATTACAGAACCAGAAAAGCATATTTTAAAATTAATGGATATTTCCCTAGTAACTACAAATCGTCCTAATACTAATGATAGAAAGAAAACACTTAATGTTCCATGGATGAATACACCAACAAATTCAAACAGAAATCGTTCATCAAGAGGTGCTACGCCAAGAAATAATAATTGAAGAAAAACTACTCTTTCACAAATGAACCCTACACAAGAAACTATTAATACTTTAATGTCTACTAATCCAGTACCAAGTGGTGCACAAATTCAAGCCACCCAAGAAGAAACACAAATCCAACCTACTGAATAAGGAATACAAATTCAGATTATATTTTTTTCATAAATAAATTTGTTTTTTACTTTTTTCATCTTATAAATATTTTTATTTTTATTTTTTGCAAACAAAAATGTTACTCAAAATTTAAGCCACAATAAATTTAAATTTAAAATATAATAATTTTTTATTAGTAACAATAAAAATTAAATAAGATATTGAAAATTTAATTAGTCACAATAAAATTTAAATGGTATTAAAAAAGTAATTAGTTACTTTTAAATAATTCAATTAAATTAAAATTAAATATATACTTCTCAATTATTAAAAATATATAAAAGATAGTATTTTCTGTTCTTTTTACATTAGAATTTTGTACTTTTTTATTTTTTTTCAAATAAAATAAATAAAATTAAAATGAATTATCAACTTCATAATATTTATACATTTGATAATGAACAAGAAACTCCATTTGATCCTATAACAAATATTGATAATTCTCAAAATTAATTACAATCAGATCAAATACAATTGAATACAACTTAATTAACTTACTGGAAACCTTCTGCAAAATTTCACCGTCTTAATAATAAATTCAAAAATAATATTTTAAAACAATGGCCTCAAATTGCATGTGTATATTGTGAAAGATTATTGTATCCAGAAAAGGTATGCTGAATAATATATGATTCAACTATTACATATCCAATACAATAAAATATATCAAATATATCTTTATCCTTTCATCCCAATACTAATAATATTAAAATACCTACTTGTGACTCTTGCAAAAAACCATCAACACAATTTTCTTTTCCTTATTTATCTCCAATTCCTGAAGAAATAAATTCAGTTCCTTTATATTAAAAAAACATTTATTACCAGTTTTTTTACATTGTTCACTAGGAAGAACTTCCAATAGTAATGCTTATTCTAAATACAGAAGTTTAATTAGAACAATGAACTATTCATGTAATATTTGAGTCCATACTTTATATTCAGAAACTATAGGTGCTTTTTTGGAACCTACTAATAATAATGATAATATTAATGAATTTAATAATTTGCATCAAAATTCTGTCTTACAAAAAGCAGTCATCTAATTAACAAGAAATAATCCTTACCTTGATCCATATGTTAACATCTTACTATCACAACAAAATTCAAATATAAACAATCCATTTTCACAAGCACAACTTGTTCAAACAAATATAAATATTTCACCTATATATATACATGAAATTATTATTTCAAATAATTATTTTCCTGATAAAATACATAATGAAGATTTTTATTATACTAGATTAATGTCAAGTTTTATTCAAGAAAGTGATACATTAAAAATTTCAATTTCTTATAATGATCCTAATTTAGAATTATTATTGTTTTCAGATTTGTTTACTGATAGTAAAAGTTATTTCTATAATATTACAAATTAACAATTATTAAATAATAATAATAAAAAAGAAACTTATAGCAAATATTATAAACAATATTTAATAAATTATAATTCAAGATGGCAATTATATTATATTGGCCTTCATGATCATATTTACAATTGGAAAAATTAAGACATCATCAAAATATACAATGTTTATTCAAATTTAAATGGTAATAGTAATTTATCAACTACACAAGATTTACTTTAACCAAGTACTTATGAATTATATAATATAATTAATAAAAATAAACATTTTCACTTCTAATATTTATGTGAACTGGAGATTCATATTTTTATGAAAAACAACTTCACTTAAATACAATATTAAAAAAAATTAAGATTACCTACTTTATTTATTATGTTAAGTATAGTTGAAAGCATTGGATCTATTTATATGAAATATTAGCTAATAGTAATAATAATAATATACTTCCTACTAATTGACCTTTTTATTATGTCAATTATTTTGTGCATCAATTTTAATTATTAAAAAAAAAACTTTATAAAAATTCAGATTTAATACAATTTGGTGAAATTACAAATTTTTTGATAGAGTTGAATTTTAAAATCGAGGAGTTGCTCATATCCACAGTTGTTACTGGATTACAAATTCAATTGAATTTATAATTTCAAATAATATTATTCAATCAATAATATCAGATTCTTTATATGAAACTGAACTCTATAATACAGTAATTACTTATCAAATATATACTTGTAATAAAAAAATGTCAAGGTCCAATTCCATTTGAACAAACTTGTAAAAAAGGATTTTCACATCCATATAGTGAAAAAACACATTATGAAAAAGGAAACTGTCATTATATTTATAAATGCTTAACTGAAGCAGATTCTTGAATTATTTCATACCATATTTTAATTCTTTTAATATGGAATGCACATATGAATATTCAATATATTACAAATAAAAAATTTGCAAAATATATAGTAAAATATATTGCAAAATGAGAACCTTCACATGTATTTAATATACAAAAAAATAATACATTAAGAGAACATATTATTGCAAGAAGATTTAATTCTATAGAATTAATATTTCTTTTATTAAGACATCAAATTTGTAATTCTTAAGTTTTTGACAATAGAACCTCCAACATTAAGAACATGTGCAATTTTACCAATAAATATAATTAATAAAATAGATAAAAACTCATATTATAATGATACAATAATGAAATATTTCTATCATTCTCAATCTACTAGAATTTAATAATCTTATATACTTTCAATATTATGAAAAACATTTTATTACTCATTCATCCCCAACAACATCTTGTTAAATTTATCATGATGAATTAAATAATTATATAATAAAACGAACAAAAGAAATAATAACTCAATATCAATTTCTTAAAATTGAAAATGTTGAATTATATTTTTATCAACAATTGTTATTAAATATTTTAACAAGAAATGAATCTAATTATCAAATAGAAACTAATGGAATATATTATGAAAAATTCTTATTAATGTTTTTTGAATTCCTTACTATATTACAAAATCAAATTGTAAATACACATCAATTTCAAATAACTCACTTTAATAATTAGCTTTTAGAAATATTAAATAGATTATTACATTCTTTTAATGAACAACTTCCAACTAGTCTTTCTAATATTATACAAATACAATTGTAAAATTTAAAATTCTTTCTTTATATATTTCCAAAAACAGCTATATTAAAATTACCTACTGATCAATATCACATTTTATCTACAATTACAATGCATATAGAAAAAAATAATAGAAATAAATGGCCATATTATTTTATAACAGGTTCAATTGGTATTGGAAAATTATATCTTATTCATATAATACAAGACAAAAAAATCAAATTATTTATTATTAGCTTCAACAAAAATGGCAGCTCAAAATATAGGAGGAAAAACAATTTATTTTGAATTATACATTATATCTACATGTAAAAATTTTTATACTTGTATCTTTAATAATAAAGAACTTAAAGCTTGATTAGAAAAAATTGATACTATAATTATTGATGAAATATCTATGGTTTCAGCTAAACTATTTGATTTTATTTCTAAAATTTTTGCTACCATTCATCAAAATTCAATTGCTTTTAATAGTATAAATGTAATAGTAGTTGAAGATCTATTTTAACTTTCTCCTATAACTGGATAACCTGTTTTCATGCAACTACCTAGAATTATTTTATTTTTTATTTTAAAAATACCACAATGTCAAAATAATGATATCTAATATTATCATATGTTAGAAAAAATTAGAACAAATAATATTTTAAATGAAACTTGAAATACATTACAACAACAACATTCTGAATTTTTTTTATATTCTGTTATTGATATGATATTAAATACAACTTATATTGTAGGTTTTTGTGAAAGTGCACAACAAATTAATAGAATGATTTGTAATATGTTACCTGTTGCAAATAATAAATTCTTAATTTCACAAGTATTAGATTTGATAAATTCAAAATCATGGAATGTATCTGATTTTAACAAATGTTTAAATCAAAAACTAATTTATCATCATCTATATGATTACAACTTGGGATATGTATAATATACCTTAATAATTCTCTAATTGAAAATGGAATCTGCAATGGAACAATTGGAGTTGTTACCAATGTCAACCTATAAGAACAATTAACAAGAGTAGTATTTTCCATTAAAGGTTCAATAGTAGATATTCAAATTTATAAGCATACCCATTATTTTGAAATTAATGGAAATAATTGTCAAAGGACTCAATTTTCATTACAAAATTGTTTTGCTATGACTGTTTATAAAACTCAAGGTCTCACTTTACCAAAAGTGCATCTTGCTTTAGATAAAAACATTTTTTCATCTGGTCAAGTATATGTTACTCTAAGCAGATCTACTATTAAACTCGAATATCAAAGATTAGAACTTATCTCTAAATCCAGATCCCATTTATTTGTTTAATCCTATATTGTAATTTTTTTATATAATCAAATAATAAACATATATGTATTACATTACACCAGTCATGTTTTAGTGGCGGGTGGCTACTAGAAAAAAATGTAAATATATGTAAAAAAATATATATATATTTGCCAACTATAACACTATATCAACTTTGAAGGGTTGATATATGATCTCTACCGTGCCACATTATTATTTTTTTTGAGCCAATCATATTTGGATTGACATTCAATTCACCATATTTAGATTAGTAAATGATTTCAAATTCTGCCATAAATGATGATTTCAGAATGATAATCATATACTGAAAAAATTGAATTTTCTATTTGTTGACAGATTATAAGTTGACTCTTTTTTTGGGAACATTTCGTGTATAAATAATGTTTCACTTCTTCTTGATAAAAAATAATAATGGCTCAAAACAATAAACAGGCACTTAACGTCAAAGATGCTCTCTCATATCTTGATCAAGTTAAAGTGCAATTTTCTGAACAACCTGAGGTCTATAACCATTTTTTAGATATTATGAAAGACTTTAAAAGCCAGGCAATAGATACTCCAGGCGTGATAAACCGAGTCTCCTCACTATTTAAGGGACATCCAACTTTGATTCAAGGCTTCAATACCTTTCTGCCACCAGGTTATCACATTGAGTGGTCAACCAATCCACACGAACCAGATTCAATCCGTGTTACTACTCCAAACGGGACGACAACTACTCCAATAGGTCCTATAGACTGTCAGGCCTCTCCACTAAATTCTGTACCTAGTATTTCTAATACATATTATCAAAACTCCGTTTATCCACATCAACCACCTCCTTCACTTATGCCAAGTCCAAGTTTATCCCCACATCCGCCAAGTTCTCTACCACCTCAAGTAACCCAATTTCATATTGGTTCTCCACAACAATCTGTAGGACTAACAGTGGCTCAGCAAGCTATTGCACAGGCAGTTCAATCAGTAGGTGTTGGCGTAGCAGGTGGCACCTCTCCTCAACAACAAGGGAAAAAAGCACCCGTCGAATTCAATCATGCCATCAATTATGTAAATAAAATTAAGGTAAAAATTTTTTTATAATTTAAATAAACAATTAAATATAATTAAAATAACAATTAAATAATTCATTTATTGTAATACTAGAATCGATTTTCGACTGAACCGGATACTTACAAGCAGTTTTTGGAGATTTTACAAACTTACCAAAAAGAACAGAAACCAATTCAGGAGGTAAATAAAAAAAAATGCTTTTTTTTCGATAATTCAAAAAAAAAAGTTCTATATAAATTTTTTTTAATCCATTATCTTTTTTTTTTTTTTTTTCATTTCCATAAGGTTTATTCACAAGTTCAAGTGCTTTTTAAAAGTGCTCCAGATCTATTAGACGAATTTAAGCAATTCCTTCCCGATAATTCTGGAAATGTTGCTTCGGGTGGACTGGGTGGACTGTTTGGACCTCTTCAAAATCATAATGCACCGAAACAATCTCATGTATTCTCAATCGCGAATAATAATTCTGGTTAGCAATAAAAAAAAATTTTTAATTGTGAACTAATTAATTTTTATATCTTTTAACAAATTTTACTTTATTATTATTTTTATTTTTATTATTATTATTTTTATTTTTATTATTATTTTATTATTATTTTTATTATTATTATTTTATTATTATTATTATTATTATTATTTACTTTATTTTATTAGCTCATGGAACTCAAAGAATTTCTTCTGTTGGTAATTTCCAATCTCAATCCGCATCTATATCAGTACAAAATGATGCATACAAAAAAATTTCAGGATCAATCAATTTGTTATCCAATTCTGCAACTGCAGGTTCATCGAATATTAACAAAAAGAAAAGGTCTGCTCTTCCCGCTTCAGATCGGAGTCCGAACATTTCAAGCAAGGTTGGAAATCGTTCTCGTATTCTTAGAAAAAAATCCAAACCCAAATGATTCACTGGTTGAAATGTGGAGATGATGTTGTTGCATGAATTTATAAAAATGTGAATAGCCATCTTATTAGAAAAAAAAATTTTTTTTTAATTAAAAAAATTAATTGTAAAATTGTCAAAAAAAATTTTTTCCATAAAATTTATGTGGAATACAGATTTAATTGAAAATGGCTTTATAAATTAATAAGAAAATCGAGACATGCATGCAAAATGTCATCTCCTCACTTTAATTAGTGATCAGTTATTATTACAGTCAATTCTGGATATAATGAATTTCATCTTTATATTAAAATTTATTACGCTTTTATAATAAAGTTCGTTATATCCAAAATTTGTCATATTCTAAATTCATTATATCCGGATTTGACTGTATTGTCGAACAAAAAGAGTTCTTTCCAGATTGGGATATGTTTGTTGATCGTTTTTTATTTATAGTCTAAGAAATCTAAGACGTCTCACAAGCCCTCCGGCGAACAGTCTCATTCCGGATCATCAATTGCCTTAAGACAAGAACAAATGAAGATTTTAGAACCTCAACCACTTGCTTCATCTGAAGAATTAGAATTCTTCGAGAAAGCAAAAAGGCATATTTCGAATAAACATAGCTACAATGAATTTTTAAAGTTGCTTAATCTTTATAGTCAACAGATTTTGGATGGCAAAGATTTTCTTAGATTAATAGCTCCGTATTTAGGTGGACCAAATTCTGAATTATTTGCTTGGTTAAAACAATTCTTAAAATTAAATGAAAGAGATGAAATAGTTCAAAATATGGCCAATTCTAGACCACGTGTCGATCTTGAAGGGTGTATTTCACATGGACCAAGTTATCGAAAGTTACCTGATTCAGTATGTACAATCTTTTATTTTTTTTTTTGATTATTGAAATCGAATGAAAATGGAATTTTAAAAGTTTCTTTTTTTAAGGAATCCAATGCGCGCTGCTCTGGAAGAGATGATTTATGTAATTCAGTACTTAACGATCAATGGGTATCTCATCCAACATGGGCAAGTGAAGAGGCAGGATTTGTATCTCATAAGAAAAACCAATTCGAGGAAGCATTGCATAAATGTGAAGAAGAAAGGTAATTGAACTTACTCCTACATTACATAATTACATGTAACCACAACGCATGTGACGTGTGGAACGAGCGTAGATAAAATTTTCTTGGTTTTTTTTTTCCTATAGATACGAATATGATATGTTCATCGAATCGGTATTACACACAATTAATTTGCTAGAACCGGTTGAAAAGAAAATAAATACTAAATTATTAAATCCTGAGGATCGAGCTAAATTTAAAGTTGATAATGGTCTAGGAGGAAATTCAATGATTTATAATCGTGTCATAAAGAAATTGTATGATGTTGACAAAGGTCCCGAAATCATTGACGCTTTACACAATAATCCATGTGCAGCTGTTCCTGTCGTATTGAGACGGCTTAGACAGAAAGCAGAGGAATGGAAACGGTCAAGAGTATGTATTATTATATTTAATTCTATTTAATTAAACTTTTCAACTTTCAATAAAATAATGTATTATTAAAAATAACCAAATTAGAGAGAATGGAATAAAATATGGCGAGAAATCGATTCCAAAAATTATTACAAATCTCTTGATCATCAAGGGATTACGTTCAAGAACGATGATAAAAAGGCTATAACTCCAAAACATTTGGTTGCTGAAATTGAGAATCTTCGTCGCGAACCTTCTGATGATGGGGAGTCATCTGAATACCAATTCAAATTCTTTTTTAAAGATTTAGATGTGTTTAAGGATGTCGCTCAAATTATCTTTAGGTATATAGATCATTCTGGAACGGTTACACCAAATGACCGAGAAAAAATAGAGAAATTCTGGAAAACTTTCGTTACTAGTTTTTTTGAACTTCCGACAACTTATTTCGATGGATTAAGTCATGAAGAACCCACAACTGCTATGGAAAGTGAAGATGCGACAACTTTGACAAATGATAATATGGATTGTGAACCCTTATTAGCGGAACCAATAAGTGGAAAATGGATTCAGATGTCTAAAGAGTCTAGAGAAAGCATAAGAGCTGTTGTCGCTAATGCAGGAAATTCTAGACAGAAAAGGAAATCGACTTGTTATTTCTTTGGAAACAATTGTTTTTATTGTTTCTTTAGGTTTTTACAGGTAAAGGAATTTTTGAATTAAATTAATAATCATCGAATTTAATAAATATCTTTAACTTTTTTTTTTTTTCATAGATGTTATTCAATCGTCTTGAGTCGATGAAAGAAGCAGCTACAGATATAACATCATCAACAACTTCTCATACAAGAATGCCAAATGGTGCTGCAACTAACTTAGGTCTTTTACCTGAGCGAACTGAAAGTAAGTCTGAAAGTAAGTTTTACCCAAGAAAAAATTCAAGTAAAAAATTGTAAGGTCAGGTAGAATGGAAAAATAATGATTAAATTTAATCTTATGTTATATCCTTGATTTTTTATTATTATTTTGTAAATAAATATCCAGTCGACGTTGATATTGATCTTAACAAAGCAGATCCATATTCAGTGATGCTTGAATTAATTGAAAAACAATTTGAGGGAGATCTTGAACTTTCAACGTTCGAGGAATGTCTCCGATATATATACGGGACAAAAGCTTATATCATGTTTACTGTGGATAAACTTGTTCAAAATATGGTTAAACAGGTTTGTTTGATAATTTTGAAATACTTTATTTTTTAATATATATATATATATATTCGATTTTAACAACTCATTTTTAATTTTTTTTTTTTCTTATTAGTTGCAATTGTTAGTTTCAGATGCCAAATCAACTTCATTAATTAATCTATTCGAAGAAAACAAAAGACAACAGGATCAATCGAGTGTTCGTTCTCATATAATGTACCAATTGCATGCAAACAATATAATTGGCTATGATGAACCTACTTATCGAATAGATTATGTATGTATATTTTTTTATTTGTCATTATTAAAATCTCTTGATATAACAGTTATTTTTTTTTTCGATTTCATATTCATTATTATTTTATTATTATCAGTACAAGGAAGAACAAGCAATGACAATTTTACTAGCAGGGCGAGATTATCCATTAGGAGGTCCTGTCTCATCAGAAGAAAAATGGGCATATTACATGTATAGTTATATGTCATTGAATCCTACAGAAGGAGTTTCATCTAGATCTGAAAAACCATTCCTTAAAAGGTTCTGTATTTTTTTTACGATTTGATAGGGAAAGATTTTGACCCTAATTATAATCCTAACTATATTTCCAACTGTACTTTATTATTTTAGAAATCTTCCATCTGTAGACATTTCAGAACAAATCATGTCCAACCTTATTACTCGTAATAGTTTGGAGATTAAGATTTGCATTAATTCTTACCATGTGTTTTTCGTGAGCAATACAGAGGATAGTTTTAGAAGAATACAATCTGCCGTACCTGCAGAGAAATTAAAGGAAGATACTGAACAACGCAAGGAAATCTGGACTCGATGGTATAATTCACAAACTTCTGATGAAATGACAATGTAAATCCTCCACCTAACACGTGAAAATTTAAATTTCTTTATCAAATTTCAATACATATAAATAACTCATTGTTAGTCTACATATATGTATTCTTGTATTTAAATATTATTATTAATAAAGTTCAGTGGGGCAAGGCTAACATAATTAACTATATATAGTACAAAGAACGATATGCAGCTAATAATACTTTAATGAGCACAAGCCGTTAAAATAAAAACTTTAAAATTGGTGAATAACATAAAACGTAAAAGAACAATGAGTAAACCAAAAACATTATAATAGACATTACCAACACTTTTAAAATAAGGTAATATCCATTGAATGCTAATTAATAAATTTTTATTTTTATCTTTAAATGAAATCATGTGAAATATCAAAGGTGTGACTGGATCCCCGAGACGTCATATATATAATTATTAAAGCATTCGTTAAAAAAAAAAAACCCCCTCACATTTAAGAACTTTATATAAACTTTTTAACTGATATAGATTATTTACATTATGCACACGTTTAATGCAGTAAGTCACATTGGACGAAAAAGAACTCGTAGCAATAGTATGAACAAATGTGAACAAACACAGGTATATATATTATTTCGAAGTTGTCAATAAGGAAATAAATTTTCTTGGTGGGTATTACCTTTTAATGTTACTTCTATGCATACTTTACCCTTCTAAACTTTTCTGGTTTATTTAGAAAACCCCACGATTATTGAGCCCACAACACCAAAGAAGTTTTCCTCCATCTTTATCAATTTGTAACGAGAGACGTTATAGTCGATCAAATTCTATTGGTGATTTAAGTTGTAGGACTCAATTATTGGCAGTACAGGATTCCAGATATTCAGAACCGATGGATTGTGATATACCACCCTGTGAATTTGAAAACTTTGATTATGATATGGTAAAGAATATTAAAAATTACTTTTATTTGTATATAATTAAAAAATATCTTTCTTTAATAAATTGAATTCAAAGAATTCAAAAATATTCATTATTCTTCAATTTTTAGAACCAATCAGTTGAATTAAACGTAACATCACCATCACCATCACCATCAAATCCCTCACCAACGCGTTCGCAACGTTCTTATCATCGACAAATACATATACCAAGTGTAGCCTACACAATGGGGCGTAGAGCAGATTGTGAAAGATGTCGTTTGCGTGTACCTGGACATTTTGCTCATATAATTAATCATTAAATTGAATTAATTGACATTAATTAACCATTAATTAACCATTAATTAACATTAATTAAATGGTGGATGAATTATTTGGGAATGAAGTGTTTTATTGATGTTTATTAAATCTTTTTTTTTTCATAAAAACAAATTATTTTTTTTTCAAGAGAGAATTATCTTTACAATAAGTTTAAATTCTTTTTTAATGCATACAACCATTTAATTGAATAATTGAATATAATAACGTGAATGTTAAGTCATAAACCGCAAAAAAAAAAAAAAAAAAAAAAAAAAAAAAAAGATAGAGAAAAAATAAAAATAGTAAAGTAGTTGTTATTTTTGAAGATTATATGCATTCCAATAAAAGGAATCAAAAAAAAAAAAAATTAGTTGCAACCAGGCGTTGCCATCTTAATTTATTAATTTGATTTATTAAGAAAAATTTTAAACAATTGTACATATGTACAGAAATTACAGATAATGTTTTTCTTTTTCTATAAATTATCAATTTTAGAAACCCCTTAAGAAATACATACAAATAGATATTTATAGACTAATTAAACAATTAAACTAGATACAAATTTCTTAAGGGAATTAAGATTTAATAATTAATTAATTAAATTCTCTAAATACCTGATACCAAAGACTTATTAGGAATTAAACTGAGAAATAAAAATGAGAAGATAAAAATGAGAAGATAAAAATGAGAAGATAAAAATGAGAAGATAAAAATGAGAAGATAAAATGAGAAGATAAAGACAAAAATGAAAAATAACAAGAGAACAGATAATTAATATTACCTTGTCTTATATCTGGTTATCGATAATAATTAACTATATTATAATTAACTATATTATTTTATGATTATCTTGTACTGTACCAACAGAAACCGATCTATTACATCTATTACTACGTCTATTTTTATTTAAAAGATAAGTCTTTTCATTTGCATTATTAATATTATCTTCTTCTTCTTCTTGCATCATCTCTATAATTCCTTTAGAGGAATCTCCAAAATCTTGATATACACTCACAGAATTACCAATATTACCAATATTACCATTACCAATATTACTAATTACTGTAAAGTCCAGATTATTGTTATCAATATATCTGGTAAAACTATCTTCACCTTCATAAAGTTCTGTTAACCCTTCAAAATCATGTCCTAATAACATACTTTCTTCTGTTAATAATTCCTCTTCTGGTGATACACTCTTTCTCCATGATAATACTAGTACTCCACATAATAATATGCTTATACCAATAATGACAAGTAATATTTGGAACCATCTTAATTTATCCCATTGATTATAATAAACAAGTCCATTAAATATTGTCGATACATTATATGTGCAAAAAGAAAGCGGTATTAGTATGACTGTGTCACACATCCGTAATCCTTTATTGAGATAATAAAGCTGAATTTTGAAATTGTCAAAAAAAAAAAAATATACATATATATATATATATTATTATAATAATAATAATAACAAACAATATTTTCTAAATAAAATAAAAAAAATTTTAAATAAAAAAAAAATATATTCTAATATTAAAATATAATATTAAAATATAAATATTAAAATTAAGTACATACCTGAAGTAACGCAGTAACCACCAATGCTGTTACAATTATCCAACTTAAAGGTTTATCAAATTGATTCTTACTAGAAATTGTCAATAATAATAATTCGATACCACTCTTGGCGAATAATAAACTTTGACTAGAAATCATTCCTCCCACCATTCCATATGTTATTCCAATAACTGTTTGTAGTCTTTTCCAAGGCCATCCAAAAATTGGATCACGTTCACTTCGGGACATTTCATTTAATAGAATTTCTCCACGTTTACTGACGAAAAGAAGTACGAAGACTATAATTTCTATGATCGAAAAATATGCAATAAACGTTGGACGTTTATATAATTCGATTAAGTCATCAAGAGAATGACTTGGTGCTTTAACCATACCAAAAAGTGCAATCATAATGGCACCAATTATAATAAAAATTGTTCCTGTAAAATGAATCGTTGTGTAAATTTACTATTTATTTTTATATTTGAACTATAAATTGTTGATCATAATAACTTAACTAATAACAAGAAAAAGAGGAAAGATAGAAAACAAAAAAAAAAAATAAAACAACAACAAACAACAACAACAACAAACAAACAACAACAACAAAGAAGAAAATTTTCGACAGAATTTTACTTGAAAATGTAGATGATAAAGATGATTAAAAAAAAAAAAAAAAAAGAAATAATGAAATTAAAACAAACCTAATAACGACTGCTTGGAAAACACGTCACCCAAAAGTAATTTTGCAAATAATGCATTGAAAATTAATGTTACTGCACCCAAAGGTGCTAATATAATAATAGGAAGATATCCAATAGAAAAAATACTTCCAATTATATTGGAAATTATATACGTGTCAAAACCTAAATGCCATAACGGTCTTCTGCAAGCAGATCGCCTTAACTCTTTTGGATGAATTTTTTCGTTTAAAACATGAGATTTACGTTGAATGGTTAAACCAAGTGATTGTATAATCGAAGTGAATACTGCAATTGTAATTCCAAGAATGATATTTAGCTGCGCTTGTTCCTCAACTTTTATTTTTTCAAATAAATAGTTTATCATACTGGAAATAGTGAAATAGTGAAATAATGAAATAGTGAAATAGTGAAATAGTATTAAAAAATAGAATTTAAAAAATAAAATTATTTATTATTATTACATCAAAATTTCTATTGTTATAATTGAAATGAGGATTGGATAATAATTATAACAAAGTTAAAAAAAAAATTTCTTTTTTATAAATAATTTTTATGGAACATAATATAATTTAATTATGAAACATTCGAAAAGAAAGAAACTGGATTAAAGGAAATTAACAAATAAAACACCGACCGAACAAATACCATAATTTATATGATGTTTTTGGTAAGTCGATCTTAATATATAATAATATATACAACGGATAAATTGTGGTACTTTTGATTAGACAACTGTCAATATGGGAATTCTTGTTCCGATCACACGATCACACGATCACAGATCATTATAGATCACGCGAATCCTTTATTCTCAGATTCACTAACATGTGACAAACACTTACTTGTTGTGATATATTCTGCCACATCTTTTCACTCGACGCAGATCTTTTCTTTCAATTGTGCACCATTTCACTCGTTTCTATTATTACGTTCTTTTTTCAATTACTACAATCAATTTAATTATTATTTTAAGCAACGTGACTCATAAAAAAGGGGCTAATTTTTTTTATACAAACAATTATATAATTTATTTTTTATATATTATTAAAATTACTAAACTAATTGTGTTGTGTTACTAATTCCGAGCAAAATAGCAATCTCCTTTTTTTTATTAATCGATAAATCCTAACGTTTTGTCTTTAAAATCAATTATGTCCATCGCTTGATCTAATCTAAAAAATCCATTTAATCAATTTCTTTATCATATTAAAAAGTTTAAATTATTTTTTTTTTGCGCAATGTCTGATTCGTTGGACGGTGATATCGCTAAGAATGAAGTTATGAATCTACAAATAGAATGGTCAAGTAAGTTGTAGAAAGTGAATATATTTGTATTAGACCTTAGATCTCAGGTTTTACAACAGCTTTTTTTGAACAGGCCCAGAGAATAATTCTTCAGAACAGAAACGTTCTCCACTTTGGGTGGGTATTACTTTTGTTGATCTAAGTAACATAGTCCTTAATTATGGTTCTTATAGATTGTCCCCATTGTCAGTATTCGGATCTTTAACCTTTTGATCATTTGTTTTATAAGCTTCGTGAAGTAACTTCAAAAGACGCTGAAAATGGAATGGATGTGGTACGGTAACTGCTCAATCTCTCCAATTAATTTTTACTTAATTTCCACATATAATTTTATAAAAAATTCCATTTTTTTATTTTTTTATTTTATATATTAGCAAGGAATTACTTGGGATACTCTTAATGTTTCACGTCAACGATATCGTGAATTAAGGTAAAAATATAAATCAATTTAATTGATTTGTTTGATTTTTCTTTTTTTTTAAAAAAAAATTTTGTTAATAATTTCATGTATTCAGGCTCATTGATTATAAAAATTATGAAAATGTTCAAAAATCTCATGATGAAATAAAGAAGGTAAAGAAATTTATTTAAATAATTAAAACAACTAAAGATCTTTATTTAAAATTTATTTTGGTATTTTGTCATTTTGTTATTTAATAGGAAATTAAACCTGTTCGAACCAATGCTCAATTTTATAATTTTAAGTATACAACATTATCACATAGATGTTCTATTGTACATTTTCAATTGAGAAATCTTTTGTGGTCTACAGGAAGAAATGATATTTTTTATACATGTACGTTTTATAACTTTTCTAATTAATTGCTTGTTTTTTTCCCAATGAAAGATTTGATATCTAAAGTTATTTAATTTATAGATTCTCCGCGTATTGGACATTGGAATTCAATAATGAAAAAATCAGATGTTGCATTAGACTTAAGTTTAAATAATCGTAATGCTGAGGCACTCTTCGAAATTAGTACATTCGCATGCAAAGACAATTATTTGCTTGTTGGTGGTATGGTATTATATCCTGAAATATAATAATTTTATTATATTAAAAAATTCGAATCGAAATTAATAATTAATATTTTTATATGTGTGTTAACACACAAATTGTTAATAGGATTATATGGTGAATTCGCATGTCGAAGGATTGACGCAGATCCTATCCAATTTGGTACGATAACAACAGATGCTAATGGAATAACAAATCATATGGATATTATTGAATCGCGAACAGGTGGTGAGTAAAAAAGTAAAGTTTTTACTGTAAAATTAGATAATATAGATAATATGAGAATTTCTGTTAATAAAAAAACCTCTTTTTTTTTTTTTAATAATAATAATAATTATTATTAGCTGCCGTTGCGGTTATATCCAGTAATGATAAAAAATCCAGAATTATGGACCTCGCAACATTGAGGTTTATCGACACTTATGACTTTCAATGGCCAGTCAATGTATTATATATTGATAATTATTATTGAGATCCCCTAGATTTACAGCATATTTTAAACTTTACAATTTTTTAATGAAAATTCAATATTTTCAGTGTACCTCGGTTAGCCCCAACAAAGATTTATTGTGTGTTGTTGGTGATGATACTGAAAGTATTGTTGTAAGTGCGGATTCGGGGAAACGTATGTCTACTTTTTTTATTATTATTATTATTATTATTGTAGAAACTTTACTTTTACATGTGTTTACATGTGTTTTATATGTATTTACATGTATTTACGTGCATTTGCATGTGTATAAAATTTTAAAAACTAACCTTATTATTTATATTACATGAAGCCATTGCCACCTTAAAAGGACATATCGACTTTTCGTTTGCATGCTGTTGGAGTCCAGATGGAAAAATAATCGCGACAGGAAATCAAGGTACTATTTCTTCCCTTTTTTTTTACAAAATTTTTATCTTATGCGCATATTTTAATTTAATATTTATTTTTTCCTTTACAGATAAAACCACAAGGTATATATACATGAATTTTTAAATTTTTCCTTAATTTTAGAGATAAAATTTATCTGTCATTAATATTTATTATTATTATTATTATTATTATTATTAGATTATATGATACACGAAACATGTCAAAAGCATTCAATGTACTGGGGGCTAAAATAGGAGCTGTGAGGTCACTTCACTTTTCTGAAGATGGCCGTTATTTGGCCATGGCAGGTTTGTGATAAATATAGATAAATATAATTGACAAAATATAAATATATAATAGATTACTAACTCATTCATAAATATTAGAGCCGGCTGATTTTGTACACATATTTGATGCACATACATTTGAGCGATCTCAAGTGATAGATTTATTTGGGGAAATTGCAGGCGTCACATTTACACCAGATGCAGAAGGATTATATATAGCAAATGCTGATGAAAATTATGGGTTGGCATTTTGTTTTAAGTCGTCTTTTGAAATATATCTATTTTTATTTTTATTTTTTTTAAAAAAAAAAAAAAATTATTAATGTTTTGCTTTTAATTTAATCAGGTGCATCCTTGAATATGAAAGAATTTCTCCGATAAACCACGTAGGAAATATTTTCATTTAAACCTTTATTCTTTAGGATTCTATATAGAAAGATTAAATCCTTCTAATTAACTTATTTAATTGGGAGGTTACATATTAACATTTTTCATTGCTTTTGTATACTAATTGTCATATACATATCATTTTTATTACTGTCATCATTTTTTGTTGTTGATTTTATCAGTAACATTATCGTATACTGTATTTCAGCAATAATTATTACAATTCTATCTTAATGACATTTTTTGGGGGAAATAAGGGAGACAGAATTTTAACATAGTAACGATAATATATTGAACAATTCTTTACTAAATAAATTATTTTTTACAAAAAATTGAATTTTACTCATTTTAAATAAAACATTCTATCAATTTTTTTTAAGTAATTCATTCGTATGAAACTAAAGTTCTGAACAAAGGAATCAATTTATTTTCTATGTAGATAATAGATTTATATGTATTATTCCAATTTTTAAGTATACACATATCACTAACTGGTAATATTACATGTGTATTGTGATTTGTAAAAGTGAGTACTTACATATTATCATCACATGCAAAAATTCATTATTATTATCCCCAGTGGTGCGATCCGGATATCCGTGAGCTTTATCACGGATACGGATATCCGTAATTAAATACCCAGATATATCCGCGGATATCCTTGGATATAAGTACTTATCCGTATTTATCCGTGGTTATCCGTGGTTATCCGTATATATATCCGTGGATAAAAAAAAATATTTTGACACAATATAATATTAATTTTTTTATAATATAAGAATCGGAAATAATTATCGATAGTTGCTACATATAAAACATTTTTATTTTAATAAGTAAATGTCAAGAATGGTACTAAGTAACCTTAGAGATAAGAATTATTTGCGTGTTATATCAAAATAACAGATCTATATCATCAAAATTGAGGGAATTATTAGCCGTTAAATTTCGAACGGGCGAAAAAATTTTATATAATAATTGTTCGCTTAATTTTGAAGTTAAACGTCTGTCCTTTAAATGTAATACGCAATTCATTCTTATTTTTGAAGTTACTTAGTACCGTTTTTGATATTCACTAAGAATATAAAACGTTTTATATGTAGTGACGATTGACGATTTTGTATATAATTATGTTATAATTATTATTTTTTTATATATGTAATTATAACAATTTATCCAATGATTAATGCTGGAATTCTATTCCTATCAAGGAACTGATACGTCAATTCACTAAAAAATATTGTGCATCTAGACATTCGTGTAAATGGAAATTGTTAAATAGAAATACAGAAAACATAAATGAACCAAAAAATTTGTTAATTGACTGGGAAATGACATGGAAATTAACCAGTTGGTCATACATAAAACAATATCAAACAGAGAACAATGATAATAAAAAATGTAGTTTAACATAAAGTTGCTTAATAATGAACTACTTACACTTCAAAAGATGAAGATTTGATACCCACTCATTTATAAGACAAATAAATGTGTCATTTATGACTTGAACAGAGGATCAATTACACATATTTACATGTGAGAATAATCCTGTAACTATGGATTTGTGCAAAAACAAACTTCTTGTTTTGATAATTGAACAAATAAAAAACAATGGTTCATATGTTATGAATAGGGATTTTGAGAATAGTTTATATAACTTGAATGATTTAAAGATAAACATTGAAAATCAACATAGGAATGAAAATGAAATGACATTATTATGGGACTAGTCCTCTGACATTAATATCAATTATCCAATCATTAACAAATAATAAAGAAGATACAAAACAAATTATTCAAAATTCATTTGATAAATTTAAATTCTTTATCAAAAAATAAAAGAGATAAGGAAGTTAAAGAATGGAAAAAGAGTAATGGAATTAAATATGTAAAGGTAAAAAGTTTTTGATAGGTGAAAGTATCATATCAGATGGAACAAGTAATATAAACAATATAAATAGTATAGTTACAAGTAATAATAATAATGATAATAGTAGAAACAATTATAGTACAGTTGACTCCTCCTAAAAGCATACCCCTTGGAACCATCTAAAGGTGTGATTATATAGAGGTGTTCTTATAGTGAGTTTTTTTATATAGTTACACGTATATATATAATTTCATAAAAGTGTGATTATAAAAATTAATATTGTAAAAAAAAAAAATTTTATTATATTTTATTATTAAAAATATTATATTACTTAAGATAAACTAATAAAAGTAACAAAAATTATTATATCAAATATTAAGAAAATTATCAAGAGATTGTTGTTTTTTTGAATTAAATTCAATAACTCTAGATATTTGTAAATATTTTCAAATCATCAATATTAAATTCAGAGTTATCATCATTTTGCTGTTCAAAATATTTAATAAAAGTTTTCAACCTACTAATTGTATTTTTAACTGATACTGGAAGTATCTCTTCATCATCACTATCACTTTCTTCATTTTTTTCATTTTTTTCAGATTGTACTAAATTAATAATTTGTTTATCACTAAGATTTTCTACATAGAAACATTATAATTAATTAATTTAAAATATTCTTATACATCATCTTTTTCAGATAAATTTTCAAGTAAATCTATAATTTTATTATCATCATCATTATTATTTGATTCTAATTCATTGTCATCTGAAGATGGAAGTATATCAGTTTTGATCCAACAGTTTTGAATAGTTTTTTGAATGACATTGTTCTATCCTTCAACTATATAACCAATTGCATTTTTAAGATTTAACTTATTTCTACAATTAAAAAAATAAAAATCATAATCAATCAAATAAATTTAATAAAAATTTTATAGTACAAAAAAAGATTATTAATTATAAAATTTAAAAGATTAATAAAATAAACTTACTTTACACAATCAATTTCAAAATTAAATTACTAAATTAAATATTTACAAAATTCTTGTTTGTATTTTGATTTAAAACTATGGATAATTCCTGCATCTATAAGTTGCAAATGGACTGTTGGATAGAAGATAAATAAGTTTAATATTGAAAAGTTTGAATATTTTTTTTGAATTGTTTTGAATTGTTCTTTTATT